GTTGTAATCCCTTATGTGTGCTGGAGGCAGTTGAACAGTCTCGGGCCCCTGACTGAAGAGGAACTATGAGGATATGTGAAGGGTTAATGAAATATGTATAAGTGCTGGGACTGACTTGGGACACGAGAGAGACTTGTTATTGTTAAAGTCTCATATCCAGATGCCATAAATTAACCCAGGAGCATAGGCTTATCCTGAAGAAATGGAACATAATAGTCCCATTTTGAGGGATCAATAAATAGGTGCCATGAGTGAAGTGCCTATATGCATAATGTTGGGGCTGACTTGGGATACTGAGAGACTTGTTATGTTAAAGTCTCTACCGTATGCCCAACAAATTATCCCCGAGAGATAGGCTTAGTGTCACACCTTACATAAGAGGAAAATTGTTATACCGAAGCATGGAGGCTGACTGCTTGGATGGGCCCTACTGAGGAGTAACAGGTGAAAGATATGGTGATTATGTAATCCAATGTTGAGTTCCCAAGCCAGGTGGCCAGTGAAGATGGGAAAATTGTACTCCACATTATGTAAGTTGTCTAGCAACGACCTCCGCCCGGCCGCAGTGTGGAAAATATTTTAATTTTCCGAAGCTATAGTGCCTAATAGGTGTTTAATGTGTTGATATGAGTCAAAAATGTATTTGACAATAGGATAGAACCAAGAGTTCCCTTTGCGCATGCACGGATGTGCGGGGGTATAGGTCGAACTGGGGCATGGGGGAGGAGGGAGTGTTTTGAATGTAGTGAGGAGGCTGGGAAAGCATGGAACCAGGAAATTGGCGTTCACGGCGGCCTAAGGATTAATATAGGCCTCATTTCATAATAAGAAGTGTCGTAACTGTTCCTGGTGGAGAGTGAGGGAACGTGATTTACGGGACCACCTTAATAGAGTGGTAAAATGAGTGAATAAGGGTAGGACCGGTGGTGACTGGCGCGTCACCATGGACTGTGTCCCGGGGAAAATTACCCTTGGTTTAATCATCACTCATCGGTCTCAGATCTTAATGGAGTGATCTCTAATGTGTATAATAATTATGAGACATTAAATCGTCTTGTAAATTGTAATGTAATTAATGATAATAACGCTAAGTTAAGAGAATGCGTGAAGTGAAATAAGTCAGCTTGCTCCGAGTGAACACGCTATAACTTTTTATACGACTCCTGACCAAGAACCCACCATGAATGTCGACACTTTGTACGAGAAATTACACGACAGAACAGTCAAGTTTACAAATCGTAGAAGAACCCACTGCTCCTTCACAACACTCAAGATGACCTTTGACCAGTTACAAGCCGACCCAGCATTTCGACCCAAGATTATAAGACTACTCATCGTTTCTTACCAACAATTGCACAACATAAGGAATGCCTCCAACACTGAAGAAATGAAGTAACTCCTGACTCACACTATCACGACACTGACCAATCAAGAAGCTAGCCTCCCTTGACCACGCCTCCAGCTTCTGCCAGCCTCCAATCAACATCAAGATGCAGCAATCTTCCATCCAGCAAGTTGCAGTCAGCACCTGCAGAGTTCCTGCTGTCTTCTATGTCGTCTTCATCATTGTTTATCCAGGCTTAGCAGTTGGGTCTAGTCCTGACTCTTCTCTCTTCGACTCAAGACATTCCTCTCACCATCTATTCTTCGCACTGTCCCCACTTGCCCCTCGCCCCTCGTGGGTCCTTACCTGTGAGTCCTATCGTATCGTCAACACGCTAGACCACGTTGTTCCCGTCACGAGGAAAGTGAAGTTCATTGAGTCACGACTTCTAAACCGGGACAAACCAACGGATACCTCGTTCTGTTGGAATAAGAACCGTGTCGGTGTAGCAGGACATCGAAATGAGATGGTGAATGGAGGAAATAAGGAGTATCAATCACCCACAGTTAAGTAACTCTTCTAGTTATAGCAGACTGATACTGGCCAGTTAGGTATGTTGTATTATTATTATTATAATCAAGGGGGAAGCGCTAAACCCGGAGGATTATACAGCGCCTGGGGGGGGATGTGGAAGGCATTCAGGCTTAATTCGGGGAACTGGAGCACAGATCCAATTCCCTAAATCAAGAGCCCCTCACCAACATCAAGGAACCTTCCTTGAGGGGATAGGTATGTTGTAATTGGATAGGTTATGGGTGATCCAGCCACATCAAGTGACCACCAGAGAATATCTGGTAAGTGGTGGGATTATGTATAAGTGTTTTTTCCTTGATGGGTATATCCATGTGTATCCTACCCCCCCCCCCTTCATTCAGTTAAACTAATATAATCTATACAGTCCACAATTAATTAGTAGTGCCGTACTGGAGGGTGCTACCCAATTTATACTGGTCTCGGATAGATATGGATAAGATTGTGCGGGTCGAGGGGCGACCTGCAGTGACCAGAGGTGGTTACATTTTCTCACATGTCTACATGGGTGACTATGGTAAACAATATCGTTGTTGTCTTCCAAGGAGATTACTCGTATGCATGTAATGTTTAGGTATGTACAAGTAATCACTCCTATAAAATTTTCCATACATTGAATCTTCCACCTTCCCATCCATACTCAAGACAGCAAGAGTCACCCCCATCCTCAAAGGAGGTGATCCAACTTAATTGAACAACCTTAGGCCTATATCAACCTTGCCCCTATTATCTAAAATCTTCGAAAAATTAATTCACATACAAGTCTACTCCTACTTCGTATTCCACAACATGCTCACCCCTGTCAATTTGGATTCAGACCGAGAAAAGTACTAATGATGCTATTATACATATGCTTGAACTAATATATTCTGCACCTGAAAAAATGAATTTCCCCTTTTCACAGACTTAAGAAAAACTTTTGATATAGTTGACCATGAACTTTTGCACCTAAAACTCGAGCATTATGGGGTCAAAGGACACTCTCTCGATTACCTAAAAACTTATCTTAGCAATAGAACCCAGTATGTATACACATATGGAGCCAGCTTTGCTACACAACCTATTCTTGTTGGAATCCCACAGGGGAGTGTCCTTGGCCCACTTCTCTACCTCATTTACATCAATGGCCTACCAAACGCGTCTAATCTCATTAAACCCATTTTATTTGCAGATGACACTACTTACGTCTTCTCCCAACCATACCAAGACACTGTAAATGTCGAACTGCTAAAATTATCTACTTGAATGACTACCAACAAACTTTCAATATAGACAAAACCTGCTTCATGCTATTTGGAAACAGAGCTTCAACTGTACAGCTAAACATATTGATAAATGGTTCACCCATTTCTAGACAGACACAGGGCAAATTTCTAGGTCTCCACCTTGACTGCAGTCTCAAATTTCAGACACACACAGGAAATTTCCAAGAAAGTCTCCAAAATATTAGATATCCTTTCAAAGATACGGTACTATGTATCCCAATCAGCTCTTCTAGCTCTGTACCACTCACTCATTTACCCTTACCTCACCTATGGTATTTGTGCATGGGGCTCAACCACAGCAAATCACCTTAAGCCTTTAATAACCCAGCAAAAAGCTGCAGTGCGATTAATTACTAACTCCTGCATTAGACAACACGCTCCACCACTTTTCAAGTCTTAACTTGCTTAATATACAAAACATCAACATTTATTATTGTGCCTGCTACATACACAGAACACTGTACTTACCTGGAGACCTGGAGTTTACCTGGAGAGAGTTCCGGGGGTCAACGCCCCCGCGGCCCGGTCTGTGACCGGTGGATCAGAGCCTGATCAACCAGGCTGTTGCTGCTGGCTGCACGCTAACCAACGTACGAGCCACAGCCCGGCAGGTCAGGAACCGACTTTAGGTGCTTGTCCAGTGCCAGCTTGAAGACTGCCAGGGGCCTGTTGGTAATCCCCCTTATGTATGCTGGGAGGCAGTTGAACAGTCTCGGGCCCCTGACACTTATTGTATGGTCTCTTAACGTTCTAGTGACACCCCTGCTTTTCATTGGGGGTATGTTGCATCGTCTGCCAAGTCTTTTGCTTTCGTAGTGAGTGATTTTCGTGTGCAAGTTCGGTACTAGTCCCTCTAGGATTTTCCAGGTGTATATAATCATGTATCTCTCCCGCCTGCGTTCCAGGGAATACAGGTTTAGGAACCTCAAGCGCTCCCAGTAATTGAGGTGTTTTATCTCCGTTATGCGCGCCGTGAAGGTTCTCTGTACATTTTCTAGGTCAGCAATTTCACCTGCCTTGAAAGGTGCTGTTAGTGTGCAGCAATATTCCAGCCTAGATAGAACAAGTGACCTGAAGAGTGTCATCATGGGCTTGGCCTCCCTAGTTTTGAAGGTTCTCATTATCCATCCTGTCATTTTTCTAGCAGATGCGATTGATACAATGTTATGGTCCTCTCAAACTCCTCCTTGATAACTATAACAGAACACACAGCCATAATACGAGACACAAATTACTCTTCGATATCCCGAAAACACATTAAAGGACCCCTGTCTCCAAATCAGTTTAAGGCCCTAATAAGAAATCACCTCATCACCCAAAATCACTACCAGCTACTCAAAAGTTACTCATATTGTGCTGAGGATTTCTCAACCACTTACCACTACTTCAAAATTAGGATGTCTAAATTTCATTGATTTAAATAGTACTATATTGTAATACATCATCTTGTAAATTGTTTTAAATTGTTCTATTGTAATACTGTAACCTTTATAAACTAATTCAGCAGTGTAATTATTCTCTACTAGACTTATCAAAACCATGTAACATTACCTAATAAAATATTCAGTTCTCGTAGACTCACTGTAACTTAATTAATGACCATATGAACTATTATTGCCTTCCTAATATTAAGTTAATCTTTAAGTTTGCCCGAAATGGTCCGCATACTAATGGGCTTTTGGCATGTCTACCCAATTATTATATTCCTCTGTGCAACCATGTATTATGTCAAAATAAACTTCTTACTCTTATTCTTATAAAGTTTTAAACAAATACAAAATCTCAATGTACTGTTTGCAAAGACATAAAATAAATAAATAAATCATTGCTTTTGGTGGCCCTCAAAACCCCAACAAAAACAACAACACAAGTCACCATTCATGGGGAGAAGCAAGCAAAGTTTGATCCGAGGAAGATGAGAGGACAGGAGCCGCAGTTCCCTGGATGAAGAGCCCGGCGTGTAGACACCTCTCACTCTATAAAGAGCGTAATAATGGCAGGAGAGCAGACACCAAGCTTCCCTCACCACCGTGCTGACACCAGGGATCAAGCTGATAAGCTGAAGTATCAGTGTAAGTGGTCATAACCCCCCTCAAGGGAGGTTCCTTGATGCTGGTGAGGGGATCTTGATTTAGGGAATTGGATCTGTGCTCCGGTTCCCTGAATTGAGATTGAATACCTTCCTTCATCCCCACATACACTGTATAATCCTACGGGTTTAGAGCTCCCCATGATTATAATAATAATAATTCTCCACATACACTGTAAAATCCTACGGCTTTAGCGCTCCCCCATGATTATAATTGGAATTGGATCTGTGCTCCAGTTCCCTGAATTGGGTCTGAATACCTTCCGTAGCTCGATTGCTAGCGCACCCGGCTCACACACTGAGGTCCAGAGATCGAATCCCCAGTACGGCTGGAAAATATGAGGGACGTGTTTCCATAAGACACCTGCTGTTCATGTTCACCCATCAGTATAAAATGGGTACCTGGATGTTAGTCAACTGGTGTGGGTTGCATCCTGAGACAAAACTGATCTAATTTGCCCAAAATGCTCTCTCCAGGTAATAACAAGCGTCTTTCTATATAGTAGTATGTCATTGATGTCAGCTATGATCTGAATATCTTTTACATGTACTTGTAGAAATAAAGATATTGTTATATTACCCCCCCCCCACAGGCACTGTGTAATCCCTACTGGTATATTGCTCCCCCATGATAATAATAATAGTAAAAGGGGTCATAACAAACTCCTTCCACACCACAACACACTTAAGATGTACACTTAGTGCCTCATATTGAGGACAATACTTGGTTATAATAAAAGGTTGCTTGGCAAACATCAGACATTATTTTATATTTTACAGCTCGTACAAGTCTTTTTTTTTTAAGTGCTTCTTTTTTATTATAATAATAATAATAATAATAATAATATTAATCTTTACACCACGGAATAGACAGTTGTTTCTTGGACAAATTGGTATTTTGGAATTATTATTATTACTATATTCAAGGGGGAGCACTAAACCCATAGGGTTTATAAACCATTCAGGTTGCTAAATGTGATGATTGTGTCTTTGTGTACTTGTAACTAAATAAATTTACTAAAGCACTTTGGGAAATGAGTGACCAAGGGAAGATCAGGTTCAATTCCTTGGATCAAGAGCCCCTCACTGGCTAAGATAAGATTTCATTCAGATTTTTAACCCTGAAGGGTTAGTCACCCAGGATAACCCAAGAAAGGCAGTGCATCATCGAGGACTATCTGTCTTATTTCCATTGGGGTCCTCAATCTTGTCCCCCAGGGTGCAACCCACACCAGTTGACTAACACCCAGGTACCTACTTGCTGCTAGGTGAACAGGACAATATGTGTAAGGAAACGAGTCGAAATGTTTCCACCTTGCCGGGAATCGAACCCAGACCCTCCGTGTGTGAAGCGAGAGCTTTGCCAGCCAGGCCATGGCATCAAGAATTTGTTATTTTGGGAGATGTTCACGAATATAATGCATTATTTTTGTTTTACACAAGCAGCACATCAGAGTCAGTCAGTGCTTAGTATTGTGGCCTGGTCAGTAAAATTAAAATGCATATTTTGATTATAAATACATTGTGGTTACAGTGAATGGGTTTGCAGTTTGAATGTCTACAGGTTGGTTACAGATTTAGGAAAATATTGCATTAAATATTCTAATGAAAGCTCATTGTTATGCAACACAGACATGTTTCTTACTATTTGCACAGTGTATATTGTAAGAAACTACTTAGTAATGTAGAATTTAATGAGTATGTAAGCAACTCTCCAAAACATTATACAGTATGACCCCCTAGTCTAATAAAACATTTAATCCATAAAATAGTACTGTTCGAACCATTATTTGTTATACTGTTATGTGCAGCTACAAGATTCTTATTCTTATAAACCTCCACCTTTGATTACCTTGCATTAGTATTAGGATAAACAAACATTATTAAAAAGATAACCATTCTTATCTTGTCTAGACTTAAGTAGTTTTTAAGTTTTAGGATTAGTTTGGCCAAAATGCCCTGGCATGATAGTGGCTTTCTTTGTACTTAACAAATCAAAATTGTAATTATTCATTGTAAATGCAAAGAAATAAAATTTTTATCTTTATCTTTATATTTTGTTGCTGAAATCTGCCGAGGAGCAACATTCATTTATTATCAAACACAGTGATGGGTGAGTTGAGCATGGACCAATCGGTGTAACCATCTACTGGTGCCTTGGTCAGTGGCTCTTCATCCAAGGAATTGGAAGCTTTCTCCTTTTCCTTGGATCAAACCTAATTGCCAACAATCACCAAGGCATTATATGACCCAAATAGACTTAATCCTCCATGAAATTAATAATAATGTTGATGCTTTCACTGTTATCTACTTCCTGGTTACACAACCATTACACCTTCAAGGAATTAGTTGCCCTAACCATATTACTTCTTATTCCCCAGGCAATGTATTTCCCTTGTGGGTTTAGCGCCCCCACATAGGTTGTGTGGGCTATTCCAGGATTGAACCTGATCATCTCTCATTCCTCAGGCCTATGTGACCCTTACAGGTTTAACACTTTAAAAACTGCCATTCACATATAGCAATTTTATTTTTGGAACATATACATACTACTGTACCATATTTTCTTTTACAGCTGCAGCCTTCCTGATGGGAGTTGCTGGTGTGTCAATGTTGGGAGCATTTGGCATGACCTTGGGAATGGCTAAAAAGAAAGACCCAGAGATGTTTAACAAGGGCATCATGGGAACACGCGAGTTACGTGAAGCTGGTGGAGCACTGGCAATGAGAGCTCTTGGATGGGGCACACTGTATGCTGTCGCTGGATTTTCTATTTTCTGCTTTGGTGTCTGGAAACTTATGGGTGTTAAGGATGTGAGTACAGTATACTGAAATGGTTTATGCAAAATTTGTCAAAATCTTATAATCATTTCATTACAGTTATTTCCTCCAAATTCTTGAGGCTACATTCCTACTGTCAATGTAGCCCCATGTCTGTACAACAAATTTTGTTTTAAAGTACATTTTGTACTTCAGAAACCATATCTCTAATACAGTATATCACTGATTTGATTAATATTCTTTCTTTCTTTCAACACACCGGCCATATCCCACCGAGGCGGGGTGGCCCACAAGAAAAAACCAAAGTTTCTCCTTTCAAATTTAGTAATATATACAGGAGAAGGGGTTACTAGCCCCTTGCTCCCGGCATTTTAGTCGCCTCTTACAACACGCATGGCCTACGGAGGAAGCATTCTGTTCCACTTCCCCATGGAGATAAGAGGAAATAAACAAGAACAAGAAACTAGAAAGAAAATAGAAGAAAACCCAGAGGGGTATGTATATATACGCTTGTACATGTATGTGTAGTGTGACCTGAGTGTAAGTAGAAGTAGCAAGACGTACCTGAAATTTTGCATGTTCATGAGACAGAAAAAAGGACACCAGCAATCCTACCATCATGTAAAACAATTACAGGCTTTCGTTTTACACTCACTTGGCAGGACAGTATTACCTCCCTGGGCGGTTGCTGTCTACCAACCTACTACCTAGGTTGATTAATATTGACATTCATAAAAAATAATGACCATAATATGAGATTTCATTGTGGGAAAGCCACTGAACAAGATAATTGTTGGATAATTAAAGTGTTTACCTCTTGCTTGTCAAAACAAAATTAATGAATTTAAGTTTGTAAATCAGGAGATAAAATAAGGAAATAAATGTATATACTGTATATAGTACAGTATATACATTTATTTTGTCCACAATAACTCTGATTTGAGAGATATCAAAATGGATTATACTCAGAAACTGGGGGATTGAAATGAGAAGAAATTGATGTAGTTTCATATTCAAAGACTTACTGAAAGAAACTTTTACTTTGCAGCTTCAAGAGTTTCGAATGAAGGCTGGACATATTTTACCTACAATTCCGAAGAACAATCCACCACAAAGCAGGACAGAGTTTGAAGGGCTTAATGACCTACTTCAATATATCATAGACGAAGATGAGAAAAAAAAGTGCAAGATGGCATCAAAATCACTTTCAGATCAAGAATAAGTGTATCTTCAAATTATGCTTCTCAGTTTTGTTGCACAAATAGCTTTTTGTAAATAGTATACGTATTTACTTAAATGAAAGTAAGCATTTGTGAGTTGGTGCAAATTATATCTCTGATATGAAATTCTATTAGATGATTTAACCCTTTCAGGGTCCAAGGCCCAAATCTGGAGTCACGCACCAGTGTCCAAGAATTTAAAAAAAAAAATTGTTATTTTTTCTTATGAAATCGTAGAGAATCTTTTTGTGAAGGTAATAAAACAAAAAGTACGAAATTTGGTGGAAAATTGACGAAATTATGCTCTCGCGAATTTTGATGTGTCAGCGATATTTACGAATCGGCGATTTTGCCGACTTTGACTCCCATTTTAGGCCAATTACATTATTCCAATCAACCAAATTCTTAGCTATTTCACTAGTATTACTTCTATTCTATCGATTGAGCACAAGAAATCGCCAAGTCAACTGTTTCAACTACAAAATAAAGTGATCGGAAATTGTTAATTTGTCCAATTTAACACAAAGTTCAAAATATTCCAATTTCAAAATAGGGTCCAGAATGAACAATGTAGGCATTCCTGGCACTAAACTAACATTTCCTCTGTTCATTAGTTATGTTTTGAGGCTTTACAAATAAATTCCATTTTGATTTTTTATTCACATAATGAATTTTTATTCACACCAAAAAATAGAAGATTTACTGTTATGCAATACTGTAATAATTGTATAAATATCATCACCATGTTTGTGAATGTATATTAGACCCACCAGCTGATGTTTATTAGACGTGTGAGGTCGTTTGTTTACTCTTGAATATCGGCAAAAATTTAACATTTCCGCTACTTTGAGCTCAGTTTCAAGCCATTTCCAATGCTAAAACCAATCAAAATCATCTCTATTTCTGTAATATGTCTTCCATTCTATCAAATGAGACCAAGAAATCGCAAATACAACTATAAAAAATACGAAAAAACACTGCAAAGTTGCTGTTTTAATCGAAAAATCATGATTTCATTTTTTTTCTCTCATTATACACAGTGTGCTGCAGGATCTGTTTTATGTGGTGCACACATACCACATAGATGTATTCTCTCATATCTAGGCCCAAATGTACCACTCACAGTTTATCAGAGTGAGCTGAGCTCATGGCGTAGATCTACGGTTTGGACCCTGAACGTAAAGCCATAGATCTACGGGACGGACCCTGAAAGGGTTAAGCCTTGTTTATTTTTTCTGTAGCTTTGATTGCCTGTTAGTTTTGTATATAGAGAAAAGAAAACTGATGTGTATTACAGGATTAATATCAAAGTATTTTATTTGTGAAACTAATAAAACTTGTGATTTTGTATCTTAATTTAATTTACTTAATTAAAAATGTCACTTGTAATTACTTCTCCATGGGGAAGTGGAACAGAATTCTTCCTCTGTAAGCCATGCGTGTCGTAAGAGGCGACTAAAATGCCGGGAGCAAGGGGCTAGTAACCCCTTCTCCTGTATATATTACTAAATGTAAAAGGAGAAACTTTCGTTTTTCCTTTTGGGCCACCCCGCCTCGGTGGGATACGGCCGGTGTGTTGAAAGAAAGAACTTGTAATTACTGTAAAAACACTACTCATTCACAAGCATCCAGTGTGTTCCAAGTGTTTGACTGAACAAATATAAAGCTGATAGAGGGGGATGATACACAGTACTTATCTGGTCAGCTATACTACACCAAAGCAGTACACGAAATACAGTATATATAAAGTTCCTGTCTCGCTACTGTATAATTAAATCTACAGTAATTTAATCCATATTTTTACAGTGAAGTTTTGAGATTTGAAAAGCATTTTGACCTGGTAAATCACTCTGTGATCTTGGCAGTAAATAAATAAAAATACGTACATAATATCCAAGCTAAAGTTAAGTAACAAAAATAAAGTACAGTGTACTTGTATACTCAAAGTCATGGAGAGCGTATAAATCTGTAGTGGAAGGAAGGCGAGGTAGGATTTGACCTCGGAAAGGTTTTTAAGGGATGGGGTAAAGGAGGTTTTGTGTGTGAGAGGCCTGGACTTACACCAAGAGTGTGTGTTAGAAAGGAGCGAGTGGAAACAAATGATTTTTATGACTTGACATGCTGTTGGAATGTGAGCAAAGTAACATTTATGAAGGGATTCAAGGAAACTGGCAAACTGGACTTGAGTCCTGGAGGTGGGAAGTACCGTGCCTGCACTCTGCAGGAGGGGGTTGATGTTGCAGTTATTTAACTAGTGTAGGTGCACCTCTGGCAAGACAGGGATGGGGTGACTGGTGATGAAAGTGTTTCTTTTTGTTCGGGTCACCCTGCCTTGGTGGGAAATGGACAATATGTTAATAAAAAAAATAAAAAACCTGAACAAAATGCAAAACAAAAATAAGCAATGTTACACTGATTATTATATAAATGGTTTAGAAAACTGACAAGCTGATGAATGAAACTCTTGTTCAGCATTGGATATCCTAATTGTAGAAACATTTTGCCAACCAGTGGCTTTAGCATATCTTTATTGTTTCAACATTTTGCCAGACCTGGCTGGTGAAACTTTTCCACAATAAGGATAACCTAAGTTGCACAAGTCTTATTTATCCACTGTTATACTAACTTGTGCAGTGGGTGGTATTCATACTGATGGCAAGCTAGTCCTGATAGTTCCAGAACTGGCTCGCCATGGGTTTGAATCTCACCTATTTTGTGAGTTATTTAAAATTGTGCCATTATGATTTTGCAAGTCATTATTACATTAAAATAATTGCATTAGATAAAAAATCCATTGAATATGCTATGTATCAGACTAAACTTTCTAGGAATTAATATATGCTACAGCAAACTGTGGGTTTAATGCTTAAGTATGATTATAATAATTACAGCAACCGAGATTTCAACGCTAGTGAACACAAATGGTGTAAACAGTGAGTTATATGGGCACAAATGAATGCCATCTTGGTGGTGTCCCTGCACCTTTAACCTCTAGAGTATGTTTCACTTTACTGTGATTTTCACTTTACAGCAGTAGCCTGGAACCTAACCTGCTGTGTAAGCAGGACCCTTCTGTAATATAAACCAAGCACTAGTCCAAAAGTCATGTCATATAGCACTGCAGGGTGGGATGTACATAATAAAGAAGGAATATGTGGAGGTCTGGCAGAAGTGTGAGAGTAAGGAGTAATTGGGGTAGTGGAAAGTGCTCTAGGTAAAATATGATAAAAGTTGGTGTAATAAGTTAGTTTCTGTTAAAAAGTCCCCCTCAAGGGGGGTTCCTTGATGCTGGTGAGGGGTTCTTGATCTAGGGAATTGGATCTGTGATTTGGTTCCTTGAATTGAGCCTGAATACCTTCCATCCCTCCCCACATGTGCTGTATAATCCTATGGGTTTAGTGCTCCCCTGTGATTATAATAATAATAAAAATAATAATAATAATAATAATAATAATGTTAAAAAGTCCAAAGTGGGACTTTCAGTGAGGAAGTCAAGTAGAGTAAGTACGTTGGGGCCAGTAGAGATGTTAGGAGTTCTGCATGCTTGCTGATGGACAGGACAGTCTGCCTATTAAGGGATGGTGAATGACTACGTTTCTTGGCAATCCTCATACAGCAGTGCTGGGCGTTTTTCCGTAATATGTACGTTTATTTAGGCACAGGTACACGTAAGTATAATTATCGTACATTGTGTAAATTACCTAGGATAACCTCAAAAATCAAAGTGACTAATTTCCATTGGCAGAAAAGTGCAGTTTCCCAAACACAACTATGGTGGTAAGACTGCCAGGAAACATCTGTCTGCAGTATATAAGCACCATCTCTGCAAATATGATGCATTTGTATCAAAACTGATGGACCGAACACATCTACTTCAGGCTGAGGGACTGATTACTTCTAACTCATCCTCTTCTACTGTTTCTCTGCATTGGCCTCCCTTCAAGGGGAGGTCAATGCATTCCTTGTGCATTCCTTCTGGTTATTTTAATGGCTCCTCAGGGAAGGTTCCTTGTTGCTGGCAAGGAGCTCTTGATCTAGGGAATTGGATCTGTGCTCCAGTTCCTTGAACTGAGTCTGAATACCTTCCATCCCCCCACATGCACTGTATAATCCTATGGGTTTAGCACTCCTTATGATTATTATAATCTGCATTGGCCTGAAGAAGCCATTGATTGCCAAAACATTTCAAGAATAAAACTCACGTGTTGTGAAAGTGCCTTATTTATTAATAGTAAGCAGAAAATGGGTGGCACTAAGAACACATCCATGAGGGATGCCTTCAGCCTGGACAATCAGGGAAAAACATAGTAACCCGGACACCGGTATCTCTCCAACAAGAAATCTGTAAGGAAAAGTAGTAGATTGACATGAAGATCTAAGGAATAATAATAATATATTTACTACAAGTACATGTACAAGGTACACAGGCGTAGCTGACATCAACGACATACTCCTATATAGAAAGCCCCTTTTTATGCAGAGCATTTTGGGCAAATTAGGTCAAGCTTTGTCCCAGGATGCGACCCACACCAGTTAATCAACACCCAGGTACCCATTTTACTGATGAGTGAACACAGACAACCGGTGTAAGGAAACACACCCGATGTTTCCACCCCTTTGCCCATCAAGGAAGGTTCCTTGATGCTGGTGAGGGGCTCTTGATCTAGGGAATTGGATCTGTGCTCCAGTTCCCCGAATTAAGCCTGAATACCTAACACATCCCCCACAGGCGCTGTATATTCCAACGGGTTTAGCGCTTCCCCCTTGATTATAATAATAATAATAATAATAATAATAATAATAATCCACCCCTTCACCGGGAATCGAACCTGGACCCTCACCGTGTGAAGCGAGATTATTATTATTATAATCAAGGGGAAGCGCTAAACCAGTAGGATTATACAGCGCCTGTGGCGGGATGTGGAAGGTATTCTGGCTTAATTCGGGGAACTGAAGCACAGATCCAATTCTTTAGATCAAGAGCCCCTCACCAGCATCAAGGAACTTTCCTTGAGGGGTGTAAAGCGAGAGCTTTTGCCACCCGGCCACGAGATCCAGACCACCCGGCCACGAGGTCCAGACCACCCGGCCACGAGGTCCAGACCACCCGGCCACGAGGTCCAGACCACCCGGCCACGAGGTCCAGACCACCCGGCCACGAGGTCCAGACCACCCGGCCACGAGGTCCAGACCACCCGGCCACGAGGTCCAGCCACCCGGCCACGAGGTCCAGACCACCCGGCCACGAGGTCCAGACCACCCGGCCACGAGGTCCAGACCACCCGGCCACGAGGTCCAGACCACCCGGCCACGAGGTCCAGACCACCCGGCCACGAGGTCCAGACCACCCGGCCACGAGGTCCAGACCACCCGGCCACGAGGTCCAGACCACCCGGCCACTAGGTCCAGACCACCCGACCACGAGGTCCAGACCACCCGGCCACGAGGTCCAGACCACCCGGCCACGAGGTCCAGACCACCCGGCCACGAGGTCAGCCAGGCCACTCCGGACCACGAGGTCCAGACCACCCGGCCACGAGGTCCAGACCACCCGGCCACGAGGTCCAGACCACCCGGCCACGAGGTCCAGACCACCCGGCCACGAGGTCCAGACCACCCGGCCACGAGGTCCAGACCACCCGGCCACGAGGTCCAGTAGACCACCCGGCCACGAGGTCCAGACGCCACGAGGTCAAAGGCCACGAGGTCAGAGCCAAGTAGACATCAAAGGAATGAGCCGAGGCCAAGATGTAGCACCATGGTGGTATAGAAGTAGTAAGATAAGATTTCGTTCGGATTTTTAACCCTGGAGGGTTAGCCACCCAGGATAACCCAAGAAAGTCAGTGCGTCATCGAGGACTGTCTAACTTATTTCCATTGGGGTCCTCAATCTTGTCCCCCAGGATGCGACCCACACCAGTCGACTAACACTCAGGTGCCTATTTGCTGCTAGGTGAACAGGACAACAGGTGTAAGGAAACGTGTCGAAATGTTTCTGCCCCGCCGGGAATCGAACCCGGGCCCTCCATGTGTGAAACGGGCTTGCCACAGTATGGTAGTATAATGTTTTAAAAAATTTACAAAAAACATTGGCAAAGTAATGTGGAAGTAAGTTTTAGGTTAAAAAACATAAAGCAATTACAAAAATTTACAACATACCACACTGTAGTTACCTACGATAAAAAAAAGTAAAAGTGACGCATTTCCTTTGGGGGTCCTAGAAATAATAAAATAATAAAAATAATAAAATAATAAAATAATAATAAAAAATAATAATAATAATAATAATAAAATAATAATAATTAATAATTGAAAAAACTACTACTCATAATAAAATGGGGTGCTAATGGCGTCGTTCCATGGTGACGGGGGTGAGGTGAGGTGAAATGCTCTTCTCAGGTGAAAGTGAAGAGTTACCGTCATGTGTTCAGGGAAAAATCCCCACAGTGTGTCACTGTGGGGTTACTGGGTGCCAGCCAGTGTTGCAGTCCACCACACTACACACAACACAGGTCAAAACTCAAATGTTTTGCTTCTCTCTTCCCTCTAGGCCCCATAAGGGAGTTCCTTGATAATAATTAAATAATAAATATTTTTTTCTGCGGTACATGTAAAGAATACATCCACTGAATCAGGAAATACTATAATAAGAAAGCTCCTTTTATGCCAACTGTTTTCCCAGCACTTTGGCCCTACGGGTTTAGCTTTTCCCAGGGGAAAAAAAAATTTTCCCCTCGGTAAAGGGGTTCCGTGATCAAGGACCCAATGGAAATGATTCTGTCATTTTTGGGGGGTTTTATCCCGGAATTTAGAATATAATCTTGGATGGAAGACAAATGTTATCCGAAGCTTTGTAATTTGTATTTGTGAAAATTTTTCCTAAATAAACAAAAATTGGACCATGCCCCCTTTCCCTTGTTTAAAACCTTTAAAGATTTGTTGGGTTTTTTAACCTTGAGGGTTACCCACTCAGAAAACCCAGAAATCAGTGGCCCCGAGGATTTTGTCTTATTTCCTTGGGGGGTCCTTCAATTTGTCCCCCGGGTTGACCCACCCCATTGGGGCTAAACTGGGTACATATGGGTACTTGCAAGGTGAATTGGACAGTAGGTAAAAAAACCCCGCCCATGTTTCCACTGCGGGGGACCAACCCCCCGAGACCAGTTTGGGTGGGCAAATGTTGCCTACCGGGCCAGGAAACCATTAGGGAATTCTTTAAAATGCCCCCATTATGCAGAGAAATTTTTTAGCACCCTTTATTTAAATTTGCCCCCGGAGCAACCCACAGCATTTGGGGCAAACCCAGGTACTTATTTTTTGCTAGGTAAAAGGGGCCAGCGTGTAATAAAAAAGGGGCAAAATTTCACCCATGCGGGGATTGATCTTAAACCCTCAAGTGGAGCTAGAATGCTGCCACCCAAGCCTGAACACCCCAAAAGTTTTCATTTTTTTTATTGTTTGGGACTGAATCACTTGGCCTAGTTTTTTTTGAGCGCCCTTTTCACTGAATTAACTATAAATTCTAAGTGTATCCTCAAAATCAATCTTTTTTTTGTAGTTGATTTAAATTAGGTTATTTGGGAAGGGGTACATTGGTGAAAAAATACTAAACAGATGAAAGGGGGGTTTTGCATTGTAAATTTTGTCATTTTTATTTCATTTTTTTTTCCTTTGAACAGACTGGTTGTATCCCCCCAAAGGGCAGGTATTTTTTTGTTTCAAAATTTTTTAACCCAGAAACATTAGTGTTTCATCTCAAATGAGTCTTTTTTACGATTGACGAAAATCTAAAGAGCAAATGCCAGATGAAAAAGACAGCAATGTAAAATGTGGAGTGTGTATTGTTTGGGGCAAAAATTAAAATTTTAGCAGCAAGTAACAAAAGCAAAAATTTTTTTATTTAATGTTTTTAGGGCGATAGATCAGAGATATTTCATTTCAAACTTCATTCAAAATGTAATAAATTGAACACTGTAAACACATTCATTTGTTTTGGTTCTTAATCTTTTGATCATTTTATTCTTTTTTCCCCTGTAAAAGCTATTGTTGAGTTTCTTTTTACATTTTAAACTCATTTTGTAGAAGGAAAATAAGTCACCGAACATAGTTTTGCATTTTTTAGTACGTGTGATTAAAAATTAAGTTTTTATTTTTAAAGAATCTGCCATTACGTTAAAGGGATGCAGGAAAGAATTAATTTCCATGGTGGTTCTCATTTCGTTAAAGGGTCCAGAGGGAATTTATTTTCCCGGGGGGTGACATTTTCTTTAAAGGTAATGCAGCCCCGCATGCCTCAGACCTCCACTAGGGATTAGACAATTCCTTGTCTTAGCGCAAGGGGGAGGGGTGAAGGAGGGGACAGGATTAAATGACACCCCCACACAGGTCATTGAACGGATAACACCCGTAGTTTTTTAATTTAGTGCCATTGCTCATTTTTTTTTCTATTTTATTCCCCCTCTATGTCTGGATGTTTATCTTGGGTTCCAAACAGTGAAGTGCCTGGGGAATCAATTTATTTAAATATAAAAAAATGCCTTTACAAAGAAACTTTTGGGAACGAAGATACATCATGGGACAGTATGTGTGTTTTGTTTTAAAAAATCAACAAATTAGTCAATTCAGACAGTGGACAAATGTAAGGCTTTGCAGTTACTAACCTCTTGTACATGCGAAAGAATGAGGAATAAAACAAACAGTTTTAAAAAAGACAAAGTTTCTAAAAAATGTGGGTTTAGAAAACCCTTTACAAAAAAACATCTGAGGGGAAGACAGCCTAAAAGAGGGTTTGTTTTAGGCTTAGACCCTGGCACTCCACGGAAAAAAATCGACTACTGAACCCCAAAATCACAAAGTCCCCGTAAGTTTAAATAAGTAAAAATAAGTAAATTTTTAGCATCACAAGAATCCCCGCCTTCAACATCAAAGAGCCCCCCTTCAACATCCAAGACCCCAGCCTTCAACTTCCAAAAGCCCCACCTTTAACACACAAGAGCCCCAGCCTTCAACATCACAAGAGCCCCAGGGTTCAAAACACAAGAGCCCCAGGCTTCAAAATCACAAAGCCCCACCTTCAACTCACAAGACCCCACCTTTAACATCACAAGCCCCCGCCTTCAAAAACAAAGAGCCCCGCCTTCAAATCAAAGAGCCCCACCTTCAAAAAATCACAAGGCCCCCGCCTTCAAACCCCAAGGCCCCGCCCTTTAACTTCACTAAGCCCCCCCTTAAATCACAAAGCCACCCTTCACATCACAAGACCCCCGCCCTTTAACATCCCCAAGGCCCCACCCTTTAACCCACCCCTAGGGCAACATTTCCCCCTCCCACTCACTTAAGATGAAAGAAACCCGAAATTCTTGAAGGCAGGTACCCAATAATGTACAGTATTGGAGTAACTTTTTTTTTATTAATATACTATTACTTTTAAAAATTTTTGGGCCCACTATAGTTTACATATTTCACAAGCGTATCATCAACAGTATTAGGCAAGACAAATTTAAATATGAAAATTAAAAAAAATTTTTAAAAAAAAAAAATTTTTTTATTTTTTATCCAAAAAGATATTAAAAAAAATTCACCTTTGATGGGGTTTTACTTTTCCCTAGGCCCAGTCCAATACCCCGAAAAAAGAAAAACCCGGAAAAACTTTAAAATTATTTTTTGGTTATTTTCCTTCTGAATTTTTTGAACAGCTATTTGGGGAAATAGAAATCCTTTTTTTAAAAAATTTTTAACATTTTTTTTAATGGTTAAAATTTCCCCATTTTTTATTTTTTTGATTTTTTTCATTTCCATTAGTGAGAACCCCCTTTTTAAGTTCCTAGTGGGGCCCTTTTGAAACAAAATTCCCTTTGATTTTTAAAGCATGGGTGCCCTTTAAATTTTTTTGGGTTTTTTGCCCCCCAATTCCCCCTTTAGCAGGGGCCAAACCTTCTACCCCAAATTTTACTATAAACATGGTTTAAATTGGGGGGAAAAAAGGAAAAAACATCATTGGGGATGGGAAAAATTTAAAAAAACCCCAGGTTTTGGGTGGGCCATTTTTTAAAAACCCATTTCGGTTTTTCGTTTGTTTTTTTTGGTTTCGTTCGGTTAAAGTAAATAAAGAATATCGAAATTGAAAGGTTTTTAGGAGGGGGAAATGGCTGAAAATGAGAAATAACAAAATTTAAATTTTTGGGGGTTAAAAGGGCAAAAACTAATCAAAAACCGCATGGGGGTTTTTAAAAAAAAATGGGGTGATTTTTTCAAATTTAAAAAAGCAAAAAATAAATTTTTCATTTTTTATTTGTAATTATTCTTGGGTTCAAAAAAAAATTTAAAAAGGAAGCCCCAAAAAAAAAAATAAAGAGGGTTTTTTGTTTTGCCCCTAATCCCTTTTTTTACTGGGGCCAGAAATTGGAAAATTTAAATTTTGAAAAGGCCAAAAAACAACCCCCAAATTTTTTTTTAAAAAGGGTTTTTTGTTTTCTTTTACCTTTTTGGGAAAATTTTTTAAAAATAAAATTTGGCATAAAAGTAAAATTCTAAAATGGGGGTTTTGGGGAAAAATTCCCAAATTCATAAAAATCGCCGACACATCAAAAAATTTTTGAGAGCATAATTTTGTCAATTTTTCCCTCAAAATTTTGTACTTTTTGTTTTTTTTACCCCTTTAGAAAAAGATTCTTAACCTTTTTATTTTAAAAAAAAAACAAAAAAATTTTTTTTTTAAAAATTTTTGGACCCCCGGTGCGCACTTCGAAAA